TCGTCTCCATGGGAGGATGGGGGTCGCATCTAGCCTTATGAATTCGCAAAAAAAATTTTTTTCTATGCACATGGACAATTTTTCGAAGGTTGACTTTTCGCGAATTTGCCCGTTTCAAGGTCTTGTGCAACTGCTGTTTTCGATATTTGATCTTTGCCGATGATTGCGTGAATCCCCCTCCTCCCCCTCCCCTTGCCTAACGGCAATATTCGGAGGAGGGAGGAAACTCCGAAAAAGGGTAGAAAGCTGGGAAAAGTGAGCAAGGTGATAGGTAGCATCGGGAACGGAGGTCGTTCCAGAACCAGAGGGAAACTTTGGGAGGTGGTGGGGTCGTTCCTTTTTTGCAAAAAAATTTCCCAGACACTGCTTGGAAGCACAAAACGGCATGAGTCATTGCCGGAGATTTGATAATCCAGTTTGCACATTGATTTTTTTGCGCTCATCTACAAATTGATGTTTCATATTGCGTATTTCCGAGCTGACCAAGGTTGCGCTTCAATTTTTTAGCATTTCAAATAATTATAGGAACATGTCGGGGAAGAAGAAGCATGGTGGTCATGGTCACGGTCATTCACATGGCGACGGTGGCTGTTGTGACCATGACCACACGGAATCGCATGGAGAAGGTTCTTCCGACCAGAATAGCTTTGCAAACGCTCCCGATGTGCAGCAGGTTTGACAACAAACTTAAATAAAAAAGTTTTTCGAAACAAAATATGACGCAGTTCGGTTTGGTGGGGACACCAAGTGCTACTCAGCCAAGTTTGTACAGGCTTGCTGTAATTTCTCGTAAGTAAAAGACGTCACGCTAAAGGTTTTCATCGGAGTTAAATCTGTTGGTTCACGCGAACCAGCGAAAATGGAAAATGCCCCTCCCAAACCGAACTATGCCCATAATATCTTTCAGTGGTCATTTTTTTTCTACATATAACCGTTGTCGTGCGGAAATTGACATCGTATGCTTGGAGAGTGGAATTGGGGGAGGGTGGTAAAATCACTGACTAGTGCTGTGAATACACTTCTCAGTCATTGTATGGGCTGTAACGCATCCTGTATGCCACCTGAGTGCTGAATTGAAGTGTGATGCGGTCACGATTCAAAGAGAAGCTTCTGAGTGGCTAACAATCTTATCCTTTTAATAGTCCCCGCTCTTATTTGATGCAATATTAGATAGACACCGTTTATGTCAAGACACTGCAGGCAACACTGGCATCCTTCGCGAAATTCGAGTATGAACAACAATGACAAGAGGGGAAGGAAGGGAACCTCCTGAGAATGGGGTGGGGGTGGGGAGTGGAGACTAGTGAGCACTCTGAGTAAGTAATATTCTGTTCAGTGTTCGAAGTAATCAACTTGGACGGATTCTTATGAAAAGTGCTAAATCTGAAGTGGGAGAGGGGGTTTTAATCGTGAGAGAAGCACCATTTTGAAAGGTTATAAGGTAGGAGAAGCAGAAAGTGGCAATTGTGAGCCCACTTCTCTGTCTTTCTACCCTTCACAAAAGAGCTTTCTTCTTCACACACACTCGTTTCAGATGGTGAAACTTGCTGAACAGCTTCAGCGTGTTGGTTTCGATATGTCACAGCTTGAAGGCGGAGCTTCGAAGTTGCAAGATGCCAAGGTAAGTGGGATTTCCCCCGTGAATTATTCGTCTATTCGCTTTTATCTGCAACCGTATATTTATAAACACGGTCGCACATAGACTTCGATGAAAGGTTATTCAATCTGGATGTAGAGTCGCGTATCCGGGTGTACCTGAAGGTGATACTTGCTCACCAAGTGAAAATTCCGACTATGACGGAACAGTTCGTGTCACATCGAAAAAGGTAAAAGAACACGTAGCGAGCGGGGGAATAAGCTTTTCCAAAGGCAAGGGACTCCAAGGTGGGCGAGCCAAATTTCATATGGAACGCTGTGTAGTCGAGAAAGCGCAGAGAAGGATCCAAATTAAGGCGATCGAAGGGCTTGGGTTTAGTTAGTTCGCAGACCAGTTCGTGCCAACTCACAATATTTCCCTAGGTCGCGTTCATACTTTTCGTCTTCGCTTTGAGCGTTTTGGTCGAAAGGGTAGGTGTAGGTGTTGATCTAGCGTTTCGAAGGTTTCGCTCTAAGTGTTAGGTCAATACCCACACTTTTTCGTTTGCACAAAACACCGAATCTGCAACGAAAAGTATGGGCGCAGGTTCACTGCCCACAGAATGACCTGTGTGATCTGTTGCATTGGCAATATTTTCACAAGCAAATCAGATTTGAAAAGAAATGGAGGGAAATGGAGTAAATCTTGAAGGCGATTCCCACGACCACGCTTCATGGATAATACAGTTCAATAATAGAATTGCCCTGTGACTGTCGACTTATTGGAGAG